CTAGGCCCAATATTTCAACCCGCCAAACCCGCCAGCTCGCCGGGCCAAATAGCAGGCTGACCCGTCGCAACCTGCCAACCCGCATACTTTATTTTTTTTATATTTAATTTTTTTTGTTTAATTTATTTTGATGTAGAAGATGAGGATGGAGATGATCAACACAAAAAAGTAGAGACAACTTCTTCCAAGGGAGCTTCTAATGTTCTTGAAATAGAAAGTTAAAGTTGATTAATTATGTTTGGACTTGTTTTGTGGACTATCAAAAATTTAGTTTATTAGTAATTTGTAAGTTTATAATTTAGTTTTGATTTTGGTATAAGTGGACGAATTTCTATTTGATTTTGTTATAAGTTTGTAATTTTCTTTTGTTGAACATATATTATGTATAATTTGTATGCTTTTTTAATTTCATATGATTATATTTATTTATTTGTAGCAGTTTTTTTATTTAAACAAAATATTTTTTTTTTGTAATTTTTTTTATGGTATGCGAGCTAGCCCGCCGACCTGCTAGCCCGTCCTTAGGTGGGGTGGGCCAGCTATACCAACCTGTTTTCTATTGGCGCCTAGCTCGGCCCAGCCCATTTTTGGCTGGCCATTAGAGGGCCAGACCAAAACGAGCTGGGTTGGCCCGTTTTGTCACCCCTAATTTTTCATTTTGTAAGTTGATTAGGAAAATTAGCGTTTGATTCTTTGATGATAGAATATTAACCTTGTGAGATTTTTGAGCCTATTTTTGGTTGGAACATCTTATTCCACACCATTTTCTTTCTTGTGTGATTTCACTCATGTTGCTAGATTAGTCTACGTTTTGCCTTGACTCTTTTTGAAGCTTCTTGTTCACTTGCATTATTGATATGATTTAGTCCTTCTTTCTTAAACTACTAGCAAATAGCCTACCTTACATATTTTGCCCTTGTTTCCCCCTTTGAGCCTTTATAACCCTTCCTTGATTTTTAACTCATTACAAGTCATAAAGTGAAAAACCATGATGTCCCATAGCTTAAGGGATTAAAGGAGCTTTGGAATTGTTTTGGGAATGTGTTCCTAATAACTTTGGGGGTGCTTCTAGGGAATGCTTCAATATTGTTGGTATTGAGTTGTTTGGTGATGAGTTTGAAAAAAAGGAAGAGAAAAAAAACTCAAAGAAAAGAAAAAACAAAAAGTAAAATCTACAATAAATAAAAAAATAGAGTAAAAATAAAGAAAAAAAACTGCAATTTGGTTGAAAATGGTTGAAAATAAGTGGCAAATTATACGAATTAGGAGTTTATTCAAGGGGTAATCTTTATGCTTATTGAACTTATTCCCCATTGCTCCTCTTTTCTCTTTGGTTATTTAAGCTTAAATGATTTTCTCATCTAACCTTTACCTTGGCAATATTACAAGCTAAATAAAAGTATTGTTGATCTTTAATGGCATGTGTTTCAAGTTGTAGAATTTAGAGGCTTGTCAAAGTTTGAGTGTGCTAGTTTTCATGATGTGTTGAGTGTAAATACTAGCCTAAACACTTCAGAGTTGAGAGCTAAACACTACTTTGTGAGGTTCTATCATTTTTGAATCATTTTTTTAATTTGACTTGTCATCTTGCTCGCTTCTAATGTTGCATATGTGTTCATGGATTGTTGTTTTGCCTTAATGCTTTGAATGCTGTATTCTATCTTCCTCTTATACATTTGTGATTTCATTGGAAAGTTTTTAGAAGTTTTGCTTATTTTTTGGTTGAGTTTTAGAAAAAAAATTTATTAGTTTTGATTTTGGTTTCTTTGAGTTTTGCCCAAGATTGTAAAAGACTAAGTGTGGCGGTATTTGATAGTCATATTTTTGTACATCTTTCTTTATATGTTTTTGCCTTATTTGATTTCTTTTAGTGTCATATATTCATGTATTAGTTTATATTTGTATTAGTGAATCATTTAGGACTTAGTTGTAAATTTTACTAAATTTTCGTAATAATTTCCTGTTTTGACATAGTTTCTTGTGCAGGCCATATCTGGAGCCATACAACTCGGAATTGGGAAAACTTGGTGTCCCTGGAAAGATAAGATGGATATCTACAACTTCTATGTTTGCAGAAGAACCCAATGGGGACGTTTTCAGGCCCAAAATCTCACATCAATCTCGCATCCTTGCACTGAAATTTTTTGTTTGTCTTGAAATTGTTTATGTGTCATTAATTAGGCTTTAGAAGTGTAATTAGTGGGATGGACCCTTAGTTTAGACCCATTACTTTGTCTTTAAATTCATGTAATAACTCTTTGCATTTAGATTTTTACCTCATTTTTCATATTTTAGATTTCTTTCTCAATAAGCTTCTGTCATTTTCTTTCACCTTTTTTCTCTTATCTCTCATGAATTGCTCTCTATTTTGGCCAAGAATTTTCATCTTCTCTCCAAATAGATTTGTGCATGGATAATTATGGAGATGCATGACTAAGTTCTCTTAATCAATTCAAGTTTTTGGTTTTGCGGTAAAATCCTCTAAAATCCAAATTCCTCTTTCCTTTTTTTTTCCTTTCTATTCCATGATTAATTTCAAATTAACTTCATAATTATGGATTTTGTTTTCAATTAATTGAAGAACAAAATTAATTTGAATTAATTTTAGAACACCACATTAGATTCAATTCGGATTGGAGCATTATGAAACAGATTTGTCTTCGTAGAGTTTTCATAGAGCACGATTGCGTTCTTTGTTCCATAATTCGAATTAAATATTCAATGATGGAATTTGGATTACATATATTTTTTATATATTGCATTAATCAAAACATGAATAGATGTTTTATTAGATTGGATTTTAAAATTTGTGATTCTTGAGTTTAATTTTCAGTTTATAATTTTTTCATAGAAAGTGTTCGATAAAAATTCCCCTATGTAATTCTTGATAAAATTCATATTCTTATGGTTTATGATTCTAGATTATTACCTAGGTTCCCTATACTACAAAAAAAAAACTTTAGGAGAAACTAGTTTATTTGATAATGTTTGACATCATTATTAAAGCCCATACTCACTGTGAGGGTTGCTAGATGGCAAGTATTGTTATCCAAATATGAAATCATTTATGTCATGCAAAAGGTAATCAAAGGTAGCACTTTGGCTCATTATTTAGCAAATGGAATAGTTGACGGACACCATTCAATAAAGGACGAATTCCCTAACAAAGATGTGTTAGCTCTTGGAAATGAAGAAGAGGGACAAATCAAGGAGGAATCGTAGACCATGTTCTTCGAAGGAGCCTCAACCTGATGGGACATGCGATAGGTGCCATACTAGCATTGTCCCACAGAAGACACATTCTAGTGACAACAAGGTTAGACTTAGATTGAACCAATAACATGGCTGAATATGAAGCCTACATATTGGGTTTGCATGCTGCCCTTGATAACTGCATCACAAGATTAAAAGTTTATGGCATTTCAACATTGGTAAAACCCAAGTTAAAGGAAGAGTTGGAAACCAAGGATTCCAAACTAATTCCATATTGTGAATATGTCGAAAGCCTAATATCTTAGTTCGAGTCAATCAGTTTTGAACATACTCTGAGAGGCAAACCAGTTGGCAGATGCTTTGGCTACTTTATCCTCCATGTTCGCCATAAAAGAAGGAGGAAAAATGTCGGGCACCAGAATCCGACGTCATGAAGTACAAGTTCATTACTTGACGATAGATGAAGAAGCTGATGGCACTACTAGAAAAATACTATTTAACATCACTATATTTACATCGATTCCAATAGAAACGATGTAAATAAGAAACACGGTGGCAATTTTGTAAATAAATAGAAGATGTAAGCATATTTACATCGATTTTGTGGAAAAACGATGTAAATATGAAAAATTTTACATCGGTTTTATTAATGACCAATGTAGAAATGGAATTACAAAATTATTTTACATTGAGTTTACACTTGACCGATGTAGAAGTGAAGGGAAATTTCCACGACCCTCAACACACACGCAACTATGTCAACATAGCACTCTCGCAAGTTCTTTTGGTGCTGACCTTTAAGGCAAAAAACCCTAATTGGGAGAGAATGGTAGAGGCCCTATCTCTGCCATCAGTCTTCACCCTTATGGTTCTTCATCTTTTGTTGGGAGGCTCTGCAAGCGTGCTTTATCTCCTCCAGAAATCAACGCCATCCCCTTCAATGGGCGTGGGGCGCTCCGAGGATGAGGGAGGCGATGGTGGATGTGCCAGGAGGTAGGGTTCTGAGGGAGATTGAGGTTGAGGTTGAGGTTAAAGCCATTTCACTAGATGATGACTCCCTTAGTTGCGTCTTTATCGCGCACTCCCATTTAAGCAAACTCTTTCTTCTCTGCTTTCGGTTTGTCTTCTCTCAACACACCTCTCTTTTTCTCTTTTCATTTTTTACATGGTTCACTAACACAACGTAGTTTTGTTTCCAATGTTGTTGTTGTGCAAAGAGATTCTCTGAATGTTTCGATTCAACAACCGCAACCATAGTCCAATTCCATGGCGTATATTGTGAGTTCACCAAGGTTCCATTTCCAAATTAAAAATTAATTAATCAATTAATCATCATTTCATTGATTTTAATTTACATTTGTCGATTTCCATTTACTTGTGGTTGTGGTGTTGTGCGCGCTGATTTTAGTTTGTGTTTGAAATGAAATATATCTATCTATATATAGGAATTCGATTGTCCAACGAGTGTTAAAAATAGTTTGCGAAGGTGTTTGAGGTGTCTTTGAGGACAACGGTGCCTGATGAATCCGATGTAGTTCCGCTAGTTAATCCTTGCGTTGCCAAGGTTGGTGTCAAAATTTATGATTATCAATGGTTAGTTATGTGTGAATTGTGAAATGAATTTGGAAAAATGTGTTTATGCCAGCCACAAATAGCAGAGTCTAGATCACTTTTGCTTTCTCTTCCTATTGAAGCACAATTGAGAACTTGGTTAATTAGACTTTCAACCTCTTAAAATCATGTTGGTGAGTAATTTACTATATTTTTCATGTTCTTGAGCCCTCTCTCTGTTGTTCCCTTGGTTGCTCAGTTAGGTTTTGGACTTTATGAGTTAGGCTTTCCAGTGGTATTGATATCTACAACAAAAACTAGTCCTTATTTCTTTCCTACATGTACAAATTATATGTTTGTTATGATTCACACTTTCTTGATCATGTGTTTTGAATTTTAGCTTGCAAAATGTGTGGAGATTGGGCTGCCAGAAATTGTAATCTTACTAGTATTTTCACAGGTGATCTATGATTCTCAAGATGTTAAATTGCCTTGCATCATTTGGTACATCTTTAAAAATAACAAAGTACCTAACCTACCACAGAAAAAAGTAGTGACATTTCTTAAATTTCAATTTCTTTTTCTTTACTTTCTTCAATTTAAATGTTACATTCTAAAGTAGTAACATTTATTTGCGCAGTACATTCCTCACGTGATGAAAGGAGAAAAGCCTATTGTTGATCGATTTTCAGTCTTACCAGTGACAATTGTGTGGATTTATGCTCATCTTTTCACTATGGGAAGAGCTTATAAAATGTACCACAAACAACTCAGGATACTTGCAGAACTGATTGTGCTGGAATTATAAGTGGTTCACCTTGGTAAGGGACTTATGATTTTTCTAATGATAGAATTAGTAACAGTTTCTTCTTCATGTAGCAGTAAATTTTGGAGGACACGGTTGATGATTCTTGAAATTGGTTTTGTTATTTAATTAGATCATCTTAATGACTAAGGAAAAATGAATTTAATTTGATTAAATCATAAGTATTTTTGTTGATAAAATGTATCAATCAGGATTAGAATCACATATCATTTCTGATGTATGGAAAACCGCAAGTGTACGGTTGTCGTCAAGTAATAAATATCGAATCACAGGGACTACGTGTTTGACCTAGAATTACTAGTATTTTAATTTGAATTTTAAAACAGATAGAATGTTTGTTTTGAGATGATAAGATCAGATTCGCTGGTAAAAGAGATAGTAATGCAATTAATGAATAAGATAAAACTTTAAGATAAGATAAGGAGATTTCCGGGAATCTAGGGTTCGCACAAAGAGTTCCAACAATATTGAATTATTATTTTCATTAATTAATTCTATTCCATCTTGAAGGTAGTCTTAACCTAATTTAATCCTTGCACCTTCTCAGGCTACGAGGACGTGTTTAATTAAAATTAATCCCTACTCTCGTGGTAATTACGTTCAATTAAACCCATTAAGATCTTTGTTAATCTATTGCTCCTCGAAAGCTTAAATCAACTCTCGTGATTTAACACTCAAGTCTGTTCCTTTAGGTTCCGATAATTAGGTTCTCCTCTCAGTTCATCCCTAATTATCTATGATTATGAAAATTAAGATTAATTGTTTATCATAATTATAATCAAGTTCTCCTCTCAGTTCATCCTTAATTAATGTTATTATGAAAACAATAATATTAAAGTTCATATATAAAATATAAAAGAACAGATCAAGAATTGGAATAAAATTAAGAAACTGAATAATGCATTAATAAAGAGGTTCTCAGAGGCTAAGCCCTGATCCCAGAAAAAGGGAAACTACTCACAGGAGTTCATAGTAGTTCTCCAAGAAAAGAAGAATAAAAGAAAAGCAAACCTTAGAGTCGATGGCACAGGCGCCCAACCTTCTC